TAAAATTTATAACGCAAAAAAAAAAAAATAAATAAAAAATCCTCGCACATGCAAAATCATCAGAATTTATTAGCATAAATTAGCCTAAAGAAAAAGAATGCTGAAAGCCAAACAAAATTTATCCACGATTCAAGTGATATTATAAATTTTTTTTTGATAAACCTTACTTCAAATGACAATTGCTATAGGCTCATTGTTGTAAGAAAGTTACAATTATTGATTTATTGTATGTTTAATTTTCGTTAATATTCATAGCGAAATCAATTTTGTTCAATTGTTAATAAATAATACAATTTTCAATGACCGTAATTTGTGGAAAAACAATTTAACTTGAATTTATTTTTTAATTTTTACTCTAAAGATCTTTATTTTTATGAATGTTTTAACTGGTATGGTAAATACAGAAAGTAATTTTAGAATGTATTCGATATTTTTTTATATTTTAGTACATTAAAAGTATCAGCACCCAAGAAAGAATATTCATGTAATATGTGTAAAAGGGACGAATGAGAAAGCCATTACGAACTTGTAATTTAGAGATTTACGGACGGATGAAAATTTAAAGGTATAATGATGATGCAAGTCTAAATATTTCATATGATGTCTATCTATTTCTAATAAAAGTAGAGATTGGAACCGGTTATATTTGCATATTAAATGATTGAATTTTAGTGAACAAAGTTTAATTTTTAGGTTTGCGTATTTATCGCATGTGCTAAGAGATAATTTTACTTTTAAAGCGTAAAATCAATTGAATTTTTTACTGTAAATATCGATTTTCTTCTTTCAACAAGATTTCAACTTGTTTGAAAAATGAAATGATTCATCCTATTGAATTTTTATTTAATTTTCAATTCTTTACCCTACTCGTTCACTTACTTCTAATATTAGCTTTAAATAATAAATGATTGCGTTTCACGAAGAGCAATCACGTGTAATATAAAAGTTAAACACAAACGTAAAATTGTGATGTCATCAATAAAATCATAAAAAATTATTAGTTTCGTTCATGACTCTGTAGTTTTGTTTATTATCAAAATTTTAGAACATAGCAGGCAAGTAAGGGTACATTTAGTAGTCATTTTTAAAAAAAAAAAAAAATAATCGCGGTGAATATTTTTAAATAAGTGGATCATTTTCTGCGATATTATTGAAGTGAGACATATGATAAAAAAATTTGTCAAAATTTTTATTAATGTTCCTAATATTTACCAATTTCTTCCATTGTGATAAAAACATAAAATCACAGAATATTTGGATAAATATCAACACGTTTATGTAAGTTCCTCTATAAAGAATTTTAATATAAAATTTATTTAAACTTAATTAATAATTTTTTTAACGTTTATAATAAACTGTACCTCTTCTACAACTTCTTTTAGGGTTATTGTATCGTTATTAAAAAACTTCAAAGCAAAAAAAAAAAAGATCCGGATTTTCCAATTAGCACGCGCAATATTTCCGTACCCATAAGTTGTAAATTGAAGCAATCCAAATATTCATAATATATGAGATATGGCTTTTTCTAAGCAATAAGTATAAATTTGATTTTTCGAGGCTAGACATAATCTATTTGTTTTGTTTGTATGTTAAATTTGAATCTGATAGTTTATGCATTTTTTCTGTATCACATTACGTTAACCACAATCTTTTGCACGCGTTTTGACTTGTACGACGTTTACATCTTGACCACCAGTCGGGTCGATCAATGTATAATACAAAGTTAATTTTATGCACCACTAAATTTATCGTTGTTCAGTATTTTGATAATTTTTATGTGATGCGATACGGGGGACAACATCTCTCTTTATAATTCAAAATAAATAAATTACATTAATAGCATTTGTAATAAATTTATGATTATTATTTATTTTAGCAATAATATTATTTTATATATACTGTATATTTTATATTATATTCATAACTATTAGCAACAAAAATATTAGATCAACAAAAATAAAATTCTAAGGCAGAAATGATGGCGTTGCTTTTCTTAAAAAAGAGACTTAATCCCTGTAGAAATAGCATAATTCTAAAAAAATTATCTTCAGCAGATTTTGTCTAGTGCTCCCGTAAGGGTCGGGTCGGGTTTAAAGCATATTCGAACTCGAACCAGTTAATAATTACAGAACCCGAATTCGACTTGACCCGATCATTATTTAACTCGGATTCGACTCGAATTTTCAATTGTAATATTATTGCCGAAAATAAAAAAAAGTGTCATATAAAGTTTATTTTATTTTTAAAATTTATATTTTATTTTGTAAGAATTCTTTATTTTATCAGAATTTCAAGCACATACAGGCGCTAATTGTATTAGCTTTAAGATCACATCTTTTGGTTGATATCAGATCGGTTCCGCTAGAAAAAATTCGTTCTACAGGAACATTAGTTGCTTTATAAAAATTGTATTAGTAAATAATCGATATTTTTTTTTTACCCGTAATTGTGCATTCCGCAATGCTCGTTTTCTAGAAGTTGTATTGTCGGTAAAGTTGATAGGTTTACTCATTATTTAATTGTTGCAAATTAAAGTAAAACAAAAAAAAGTCTATTTATATCGATATGGTTAGATCGCCTAATCATCCGGATCGCCGGGTCAAGCAAAAAACATGACCATGACCCGACAGGTTTTTTGAATTAGGGTGACTATTGTTAATAATCAAATTCCGTTTCATTTTAATACCAACAAAATTTATGGCGGCAAACCATAAAATGTAATGTCGAAGAGTACTATTATTTTTAATATATAATTTCTTGAAAAGTAATTTCACATGTGTTGTTGTTTGCCATTAAAATAGATATCATAATGTACAACGACACCTGCAGTTACCTTCCTAATTGTGTTGTGTAATTCATGTCGCACAAAAATTTGTTTTGTTGTGTTAATATTTTTTCATTTTCATTGAGATTCCCCAAATTTGTCCATCAAAATAAACATGTTGTATGACATGAATTAATGAAAGGAAGAAAAGTACAACGCAAACGAAATTTAAATTTAAAAGCACCACTTTTTTAAAAAAAATATTTTTTGAAATTTCTTCCTAAATTTTAAAATCACCTTTTCTTTAGAATATTTTTTTAATTATCTATATAAATTTTACAAACACATTTCTTTTCTTTTAGAATACTTTTTTTTTTAATTTTCTTCCTATATTTTATAGACAATGGGAATTAAAAAATTTTTTTGCTGCGGCACAAATAAAGGTAAGCATGTGCTTAGCGTATCTACCCAAAGATAATTAAGAATATTCTAAAAAATGTTTTCTTAAAATAATAATTTGCGCCAGATTTGGAACAAGGCCCACCTACACCTACAACATCTACACCACCAAATTATGGTAAAATTGACGTTTGACCATAAACTATGATCATGTTTCTATATAAAAATTCTAAAAATTATTTAAATAATTTAGATTCTGAGAAATTACCTACTACGGACAAAGTAACTGGTAAAAGGATAATTTATATATTCATTTAATTCTACCAAAAAAATCTTAATATTAATTTTTCTTTTAAAAAAATAAATAAATAAATAAAAATAAAATAAATAGCTCAAGATCCTAAACCACCGTCTATTCCGAAAAATTCGAATGGTAAAAGGATATTTTATACATTTGTCCTATCAAAATTCCAACAAAAATTTTTAATATTAATTTCAAAAACATTTTTTTTTTTTAAAAAAAAAAAATTAGCGCCAGTTACCAATAAGCCTCTACAAATAGGTAAAAAACGTTTTATAAATTGCCGCCCATCAAATATAATTTTAATAATCATTTCAAATTCTTTTCTCAAAAAGTTGAGCCAGATTTGGTAATTTCCGATGGTAAGATAATTTATATAGATTTCCCATATCTAAAGTAATCCATTTCAAAATTTTTTAAAAAATAAAAAAAAAAAAATTAATTTAGGAACGGATATTGTTAATCCCTCACAATCGAGTGGTAAAGTAGCTTTAATTTATATATTGGTTCAGATACAAATTAAGCTTTAATTAACTTTTTATCAAAAAATTATATAATAACTTATAGAATCAAAGTCAGATGAACCAATGATCAGTAATTTTGATAAAGGCGCCAGTACATTTGAAACTGTAATAGTACCACTTGCAGGTTTTGTTAGTTTTTTACCACTTATAACGGAAGTAACACAAGTTTTCAACGATATAGTAAAAATATATCAAACAGCTGAACATAATAAAAAAATATGTGGGATATTTTTGGATAGAGTTCAAATAGCTGATACTGCCGTAAGAAATTTAAAAAATCGTAGAGATGAAAACGAAAATTATTTTTCAAAAAATAATCTTATTCATCTACAAAAATTGGTTAACGTTATTGTTAAAATTCGGAAATTTGTTGGAGAAATTTCTCAATTAACAGGTTTATCTAAGTATATTCTAGCTAAAAACATTGAAGAAAGTATTAAAGAATTAAGTGATGAATTTGATTCAAAAATACAAGCATTGCACTTTTCTTTGACGGTCGATTTTAGTATCAGTGCAGATAAAGCAGCTAATGATCAGAAAGCTATTCTAAATGATATTAAAGATTTGCTTGAGGTAACGTGTGAGATGCATCAATTTATTATTATGTATTGATTATAAGTAACCTTATTCACAACATCATGTAGTATCTTACAAATATCGGAAGTGGTGTTACTGACGAGAATAACAACGTTTCTGAAGAAGTCGTTCTATTGAGCGTACTTAATAAAAAGTTGACCGATTCTAATTCAGTAAATACTGATATATTTAAAAGTAATTTACTCGAATATAATGATTTTGAAGAAGAAGAAGTTAAAGTTATAGATGGTAATCCGACAAAGGTTAGAAAATGTAAGAATAGATTGAATGATTATGTTGCATTAAAGTTGGTTGCTGATAGAAATAGCAGTAAAGCAGATAAGGATAGAATTAAAAAGGAAGTTATAATTTTAGAAAAATTGAAACAATGTGATTGTATTATTCAATATTTTGGTTTAACTGTTTGTGACGATAAGTATTATTTGGTGACTGGATGGGCCGAGTATGGCAATTTACGTGAATATTATCAAGAAGAAAATTTTGAACTTGATACTAAACGGAAGTTAAGTTTTGCCCTTGACATTTCCAAAGGCTTAAATTTTTTGAGTGCTGTTAAGGTAATTATTTTTTTTTAAAAAATAAAAATTTCATCTATCTCAAGATAAATTACTAATTACTAGAAATCATTTGTTGTATTTGGGTAATAACAGATCGTTCATCGTGATATTAGAGCCGAGAATATTTTAATCACTTATCAGAATTTGGCCAAAATCGCAAATTTTCAAGCAAGTCGAACAATTACTGATGGTACAACAAATCAAGCTGCCACACTAGATGCTGTACGGTATAGCGCTCCAGAAAAGTTGGAAAAAGGGTCGTCATATAAATATGACACAAAATGTGAAGTTTATAGTTTTGGTATACTGCTTTGGGAAATTGCCGAAAAGAAAGTTCCTTATGAGAAATGCGGTAATGATATCATTAAAATTACCGACCTAGTTTGCAAAAATAAATATCGTGAACCATTTTCTCTCGGTTCTCAATTACCAAAAGAATATCAAGAACTTGCAATAAAAGGTATTAATATAATATATATATCTGTTTTTTTGTTTTCATACACAAATCTATGTGGCCTTTATATTAATTATTATAAATCTATCCTAGCTGTTCATCATGATCATAATTTTAGACCTCAATTTTCAAAGATCTTTACCATATTACAAGATCTTTATCAAAAAGTTGTTATACAACATCCATCACCAAAATCATCACCAAAACTTTCGCCAAAAATTGTTGAAGATATGCCACTTCCATCACCAATCTCCCTGCCAAATATTGTTGAAACTACCTCAAATGATAATGGAACAATTATGAATTCTGCAGCGTTTAATTTTATGACAGTAGATGAAGCAGTGAAAAATAGAGCAAATCGCGAGTTATCTTATAAATGTTTTGAAGCATATGCAGAATTAAACGATATAAAAGCAAAATACTATAAAGCATATTATATTCAACAAAATTATGTTAAACTTGATATGGATCAAAAAGCAAAAGACGAATTAGTAGCAAAATTATATAAAGACACGGCGGATTCGGGCTATCCCGAAGCTCAATTACGTTATGGTGATTGTTTATATAAAGGTACCGGAGTTGAAAAGAATTTAAAAGAAGCTGCCGATTATTTTACCAAGGCCGCAGACAATGGCCAAGCTGTTGGAATGTTTAATGCTGCTTTTCTATATTTTTCTGATAATGTAGGTATCAAAAATGAAGTATTAGGTAATAAATATATGAGATTAGCTGCATATAACCAGCATGCGGAAGCTATTAAGTATTGTGAGAAGCATAAAATTTCTTTGTAGTTTTAAACAAAAGACTTTTTATTTATTTCAAAGATTTTACCCGTTTCATGTTATAATAAAAATTTAGCTTGCTATTAAATGTTTTTTTTGAATTAATTACTTTTAAAAAGAATGTATTCAAGTATCAAAAAATAAAGGCAAACTGACAATTTACCAGAAATATCTGTTTTCTCAATACAAGTATCCTTTTATAAATTTTGTTAATTTCGCTCTTTTTTGTAATCTCTGTTTGTATCATCATCACGAGAGCCAGTGTTGAAAAATGACTTGGTCACTTCACATTTTGAAATGACCTTTGTTCACCGGGTAACATGACTTAGGTAACCAGGTGCTTCTTTATGTAACGAATGTAATATAATGTCCATCCTTTTTTTTATGCTAACTACCTGTTAATTAACCGGTTAAAATAGATTAATTTAAATCCGGCCGAAATTCAATTTCCGGCCAGAATTAAGATTTTTATGATTGCAAAATATTGTCTAACTCTGGCCAAATTTATAATACTGGCCAAAGTTAATTTTAACCGGTTAACAAATATTTTAACCGGTTTTTAACCGGTTAAAGAATTTTCGGCCGGTTTCAACCTCTAATGCTAACATCGAATGTATGTTATCTTTATAGAAAAATGTCAAAATGATAATATCTCTAAGAATAAATTTATATGCGGTTTTAACAATTTAATATTGAACCGACAAATATTTAGTAATTTAATATTTAAGAACTGCAGGAAATTATGGAAATCATAATAATGATGAGGATATAGCAAATATCTATATTCGTATTACTCAGGTGAATTTCTAATTTTTATAACGTTTAAATGTTTGATTCGCATGAATCATAATTCAATGTCGGATAGCAACCAGCAAAATTATTGTAATAAGTTAAATATATATGGGTTCGTTACAATTAAAATTTTGATCCAAGTTTAAAATCCCAATATTAATGATACAATAATTGGAGATGCAATGACAATGTACATAAATTATGGCTAAAAGATCTCGAATGGTATTAACAGATATAATCATTTAATTCATAAGAATACTTCTTTATATATTAAATATTATATTTTTTTTATAGAATGATATTTGCATTAGAATTCTGTTATCACTACGCAAATTGATAAATTATGTAAAGATTTTTTCTATTTGTGACATGTTTTTCTTCAGGGTATCCATTTATAAA